TTAATGCATTTTAGTAAGTATTGTCGTTATTGTAGAGTACAGTAAGTATTGTGGTATACGGGTGATACCACAGTATTTAGAGAAATTTCCCAAGATGGAAATGGATTTCTCTAAAATATTTCAATATTCATAAATGTAGGAACCTGCTATCATTTCAATTAGATATATTATAGTATCTACTTAGCCCAAAAACAGTCTTTGATCATGGTAGGTAATATATTCATGAATATAACTTAATTATAAATTATAATTAAATAACATGGTATATGGGTCCATTGTCCCAGCCTCACCATATTAGAATTTTGAAAATGTTTGGGTCTTGCATCAGCTATGCTAACTAAAACTTAAATTTTACCGGGGACCCCTGTTTTCGTATAGTAGCCAGTAGATATAATATTATGCTTATGGAAGTTTCCTGCTTATTCATGCACGATGCACATGTTAACGTTTCAATTTCGTTTAACATGATAATAAAGAAAAAATTGTTTTTATGATTTCTTTAATTGTACACACCTTTTTGTAATAATAATTAATATACATTTTCTTAACAAATCATTATTCAATGCAATATATTTTTATGTAACACTTATATTATATAATTGTTGCGTATAATATCACTTTAAGAACTATTACAATATAATTATGGGCCTCCATCCGAGCTTTTCTCAGTGAGGCCCAGTAATCTTTTGATATTAATTTAAATAAAAAAAAAAATTAAAAAAAATTATAATAACCGAGAACTGCTTATTGATTCGGGAACCCCGAACTAAATAATATGTTGTATTTTGTAGTTGAAATTATTCCAAAATATTAATTATTACAAATTATTTCTACTGACCTTATAAGCTGAAATATCTTGTAATATCAATTATATAAAACAATCAAATATTTATTTAATCAATATTCAATATAATATTTAAAAAAAACTATATTGTATTACCTTTATGACTTAAGTAATAATATGTTTTATAATTATACGAGTACCTATGTCTGATTTTATGGAAAGTGGATTCGTTAAAAAAAATGTTGATTATTTTTAGCTACCTGCTTCAAACACAATATTTTAATGACTACGGAAAATCGTATTGTTTTTTGTATTTTTTCAGATTTCTTAAGAATTGCAGAGACTTTTTAAACTTAGAAAATTGAAGTTTCATCAGCTGTGTCTGAGTTATTAAATTAATAAATAATAAAGATTAAAGGGGATAGTATAGACACATTCGAAGAAATTTTTCAGTCCTAATAATTGTTTTATGAGAAAACAAACATCATTAACCATTGTTATCCCGCATTATAATAACTTTCTTTGCTTTGCTGAGAATTTATTATATAGGTAGGTAAGTACTATAAAATATAATAGGTATATTCATTGCTTGTTATTTCTTAAAAAAATAATAATCAGAACTTTCCATAGTTCTATCTTATATACTTTTATATTATCAAAATAGTAAAAATATAATACGTGATGTCAACCTTATATTATGGTATGAACATTATTTTAAATTAATTACTTTTCCGAAATAATAGATAGAATTCAAAATATCTTCTAACCATTAAGATGCTGAACCGGATATCAAACGGACAATATTTTGTTGTAGATTAACCAGTGGCGTAACCAGGGGGGCTCAGGGGCTCCAACCCCCTCCCCGAATGGTAAAAAAAATTAAAAAAATTTTTTTATGGCCTATGATAGTCGCTCAAAAAGTTCGGCAAAAGTGGATCAGCCCCCCCCCCCCCAAAAAAAAAATACGCCACTGAGATTAACTGCTATCAATTGTAGTAAAAAATTAATTAAATGCTTAAGTCTTAAGATGTTAGGTACTTGAAAACCTTAAAGCAATTCAAAATTAATTTGTAATCTAGGTACAATAATTATTATATATTATAATATGTATATCTAATATAATTACTAATTTCGAATTTATATAAACATTTAAGTAGTGGACTGTGGATGTATTAGGACAATATATGACACGCATGTTTGAACTTAAGTAATATTTTAACCATGATGTTAATAAATTTAATAAATTGATAAATACAATTAACATCCTGGTGGTTTTAATTTACTGTTTCTCGGCTTGAATCCAATTAAACTAAAAATAATATATTTCATTTGTGACAAATTAATATTGTTTAAATATATTTATTTTTTCGTTGTTAACTGGAACATTCGCTATTTCAGTGTTCGAATTATTTTAAATAAATTATCAAAGTTAAATTAATGTTTAATATCAAATGTTGGTTTTTACAAACATTTTCGATTTTTGTCTATAAAATGGCATAAATTGGCTCTATTTTATATGATATATTTCTTCTAAGTTTTCAGTCATATTATTTTATTTTCATGAAAACCATCTAGACATTTTGTAAATTACGCCTTTTATGGTATACTACTAATCTAGTTACCTTCCAATCTAAAGAGTCTTCATAATACTTTTAAAAAAAAAGTCCCTTTTTTACAGCTCCATATTTTATTCAAAAATAATTTTACTTTAAAGTTACAATTATGAATTCGATAACCGATTAACTATCCATTTGTCACTCGTTTATTAATAAATATAATCGTAATCAAAATCACTATATTCTGCAGCGAAGTGATAACTATACGGATGACAGATGGCTGAATGGCAAGTGCCTAGTCCAAGTATAATGTCTGACTGAGCTTTAATAACTTCCTAGACTCAAGAAGTTGATTAAAATGAGTCAGATGGAGTGAGTTTGAAAAAACACAGATTATCTGTATCGTATAAAACTGATTATTAGTTTTTCAATAACAATAGGAATAATTCTATATAATATTATAAACTATACTATAGTGCAATGGTTGTACAGAAAATAATTATTAAATATTTTGAGAATCAAGTAAATTTGATTATATACAAATCTTATCAATCGCATCAATCGTATCATCGTATCATTTCATTAGAATCACGTTTAAACAATAATCTTGTATACTGATGATGTTGAAATGTCCATAGAATAATGATATTCGATTTAATAATATTTCGACTTAAACAATATCATTCTAATGAAAAGTCGGTAATTATTAATATACTTCATATTTTCTTTTTCATTATAATTTTGATAATGTGAAGAATTATTATATTCGATAGAATTGATTTATTGATTTTCATTATTAATTATAATATTAACTATATATTGTTATTAAAAATTGTTTGTTCAAAAAATTATTTTGATAGCCAATATAATCATAAATTAAATAACTATTGAAAATCAAAACCAAAAATGAATACAAAAAAGGTGGATACCACCCTGCTGTACAGTAGGTAGGTTACAAGTGGGTCACCGCAATGGATGGTGATAAATTTAAATTCAATGATATGATATATCATTGAATACGTAAAACGATTCTGAGCAAAGACAGTCTGTTAGTCAATCTATATTATCATAATATTACAACAAAATAAAAAAGATTATTATTCTTTGTTTAAACATCTAATTTCGTATAAATTTGAACTAAAATGGCAATAAATGAACTGTGTTTATATATACTTCAATAAAAGAAATTGAAATTTATACCATACGTTTATTTTATCAATTCCTATACTTGAAAAAATTTTCAAAATATTTTGACTCATTTTGAGCTGTTTACTGACATTTATAATTCAAATGTTTTATAAATACAATTTCAATTTACAATCTATACAATTTTATTCGTTGGGTCAAAAAGCGTGAACATTTAATACAAGGCTACATATATATTGTTTCAATATTGGATGAAAAATATTTTAACTACATAATATTATATAGGACATTTTTTTTTTATAAGCATTTAAAGTTCGATTTTTGATAACATATTATATCAAATTGTATTAGGATTTTGTAGTTAAAAATGTATAAAAGTTAAAATGTTACCTTTTATAGCTAAGGATAGAAAATTTAAAACAAGGTTATTAATATAAATAGGTTATTCTGTAACCAAAAAATTTAAAAAAATATTAAAACACGGTTTTTTTATAGTTATTTTATGTTCCAATTTGAACGAAATTGCATAATATATAACCAAGAATAACGATTTTAATTATTTTGTTGTAATTGTATAATATTAATTCAACATACCGCCTACCATATTAATAATAAGTAATAACAACATAAATATCAAAATATTCACACTGGTCACTGTCGAACCGTCTCCGCTCAGTATCGTTTTTTGTACACAATGATATTATATCATTCAATTCAAATATAATACCATCCATTTATACAGTGACCCACTTATAACCTACTGTACAGTATAGCTACACCCACTTCCCCGCTTTTTATATTTTAAAATGTATAATATTTAATATTTATAATATCATACTCCAACTTCCAAGATTATTTAAATGAAATCTTGATGAACTGCAGTTAGTATTTAAATTGTATTAGGTTAATACAATTGTAATTAACATGATATATTAATAATGCATCTTACATAGTAGATTCTGAACTTTAAAAATGTATTTTGTTTATTATTATTTGGTATAAAAATATAAAATATAACTAAGTAATAACTCTTAAAACGAAATATAAAGTGGAATATTTAGGTCTACCGTTGGCCGTTATATACTTTTATGTAGATAAATGTTATCTTTGGTAATTATTATCTCGATTGTAAATGTATATATGTAAAATATTTATACAAATAAATAGTAATATAATACAGAATATAAAAACAATATCAACATGTCAATATTATGTTTCAGAATTACAATTTCAAAATAACCCGGCATTATTTATCAAAATTTATCGTTATCAATTGGTTACCCTTTTCCAAATCTGTTGTTGTGGTAAAATCAGACCGCAGTTCGAACAAACCTCCTTGGATATAGCGTGATGATGAATTGTAGGTTAACGCCTATTATCATCAACCATTCACGACTCTTTCGGTGTTTATCCCGTCGGTTTTCTGCTTTCGTGGTTGAAAATATTTACGAGTTGTAAATTTGTAATATTAGTTGTGTGCATTCATACTATTGTTTTCATTAAAAGCTTTTGCGATGCCGGAAGAAGTGCCTCATTTCGTACCCCCAGAAATACAAAATAATCCATTCGGATGGGGACCGTGCGAAATGCCCGACCAGTTTAAGGACATGCCATATCAACCGTTCTCAAAAGGAGATCGTATTGGAAAAGTAATATGTTTGATTTACTAAATTGCTGTATGAAATGTGTGACTAATACCAACACTAATTTTCTCTCTAGATTTCTGACTGGACTGGCTTGTCGCAGGACAAGAAATATTTGAGTGAGTATTCTTTTCTATAGTAGGTACCTACTTGTATTACTTCATTCTCAAAACCAATTTATTTTGTCATTTTCCAGACAAATATCAATCTCAATTCGGTGGTGGTACTCAGTATACATATTATCATGAAGAAGACGAAAATACATTCCACTTGGTTGACACTGCTCGTGTACAAAAACCGCCTTACCAGCGGGGTCGTCATTTCCGTCAAGGAGGTCGTATGATGCGCGGACAAGGTGGCCGTGGTGGTATGTCACGTTTACCTGGTGGTTCTAATCAATTCCAAACCCTTGGAAAATTGAACAAACTTCAAAGGTATTATATTACAACAACAATAGGTATAAATATATTAAATACAAATATATTTACTTGAAAAAAGATACAATAGTACAACTACCTATAGCTTATTATTATTATTTAGTTTCTATTTGTCTAACTTATAATATTATAAACGTAAAATATACTTAATATTAAACTCTAAAGTTACAGTTTATTCATATTATAAAATGAGGATACCGCCTATTTTTTGACAGCTAGGTATATTAACTTTAAGTAAACATAAAATCTAAAATACTATAAATAAATAACCTGTTTTATTTTCTGTTTACAAACATGTTTATGCGTATTACTATGAATTTCAATGATATGATACTAAACATTGCATTAGGATTAGTTCAGTATTAAAAAATACAACTTTTCAATTGTGCTACCGGTATCTAGATAAATAGTTTTATTGTAACATAATAAGTTTCTGTTGTTAATAAATTACAATCTTCTCGTACTATTATTAAATATACCTATTTTGTAATTAATAAAATATAATGTTTTTCAGAGATCGTAAAAATCCAAATGCTCGTAGAGGTTGGAATAATAAGCAAGGTGGGCGATCCAATAAAAATAACATGCAAATGAAGAGTCGAGATGCTTCAGTAACTGTAAGAGCAGATTGGAATACTATCGAAGAGATGGACTTTGTTAGATTTTCAAAATTATCTTTGCCTACAGTTAAAGATCCAGAAGATCTGTAAGTCTTATATTTATTTAAAAACCAAACTTGATTATTTTCAAAATTTTTTTCTATTAATTTTATAATTATTTTAGTGTATGTTGTGGCTCCTTGGAATATTATGATAAGTCATATGACCGAATAAATGTAAAGAACGAAAAGCCATTGCAACGTGTTGATAGACTTTTCCATACTGTTACTACTACTGATGATCCAATTATAAGAAAAGTAAGTTGACGCGTCATTGTATCAATATATTGAAAGCCATTCAGCCTAACAACTTTCACCTTTATGTATCATAATATTCTTCTTATATCAGCTTCTGATGACCCATTCAGGCCCATTGCCGTATTATATACTTATTTTCATTTTTTCTGACCATCAATAGAACTTAATAATTTCTTACTTTTAAAATTTTCAAATCTTTGTTAGCTTTATTTATCCAAATTTATGATAATATTACAATAATATTATCATTACAAAATTGCTATTGGGGACTTTGTTTGCTTAGTTTTTCCTTGAAGGGGGAGGGTGTATCCTAATCAAAGTATCTTTTTAGTATTTAGTGGGATCTTAGTATATGGCCTAACCATCTCAATATCTTTTCAGTGATCACTGATTATCACATTTATGTCAGATTCTCCCTTGGATCATATACAATTGATAGTGAGGCTACTTTAATTCGATAAATATTGTTTTAGCAATTTTTCTTATTCGGTTATCATATTTTTTTTATTGTATTAAAATTTAAAAATTATTTTTATAGTTGGTGAAAACTGTGGGTAATGTTTATGCTACAGATGCTATATTAGCATGCTTGATGTGTTGTACTCGATCTAACTACAGCTGGGACATAGTTATTGAAAAAGTTGGTGATAAATTGTTCTTTGACAAGAGAGATAATACTGAATTTGGTAAGACTTTCTTAACAACACATAAAATGTATTATGTTACTAATTATTATTTACTTGGTTTTTAGATTTACTTACTGTCAATGAAACAGCAGTAGAACCTCCATCTGAAGAAGCAAATAGCTTGAATTCACCAAGGAACTTGGCATTAGAAGCTACATTTATTAACCATAATTTTTCGCAACAAGTATTAAAGACTGTAAGTATAATAATATTTTACTTGAATAGTTAAAGAAAAAAAAATTGATATAATGATATAATATTTAAGGGAGAAGCAAGATACAAGTTTGAAGAAACCAATCCATTTGTGTCAGATGATGAAACTGATGGAGAAGTAGCATCTGTTGCCTATCGATACCGTAAGTGGGATTTGGATAATGGAATTGTATTGGTTGCTAGATGTGAGCATGATTCAGTATTACAAGTACCAAACGGAGATTTACAGTTTTTGACCATTAAAGCACTTAATGAATGGGACTCAAAAGTATGATAATGTTAAATTTATTTTATAATGAATTACAATATATAATGATTTTATATTTGATAAAATAGTTGTCTGGTGGAGTAGATTGGCGTCATAAGTTAGATGTACAACGTGGAGGAGTTTTAGCAACTGAATTACGAAACAATGCTTGTAAATTAGCTAAATGGACGGTACAAGCTTTGCTTGCTGGCTCTGATTACATAAAGTTTGGATATGTTAGCCGTGTACAAGTACGTGATTCGTCCAAGCATGTTATATTAGGCACACAACAATACAAACCTACTGAGTTTGCGACTCAAATAAATCTGAACATGGATAATGCATGGGGAATACTACGATGCATCATAGATTTGTGCATGAAGCAAAAGGATGGAAAATATCTCATAATGAAAGACCCAAACAAGGTTTGTACTCTTTAGTTTAATAATAATCCTCTAGTAATAGTAATTTATAATTATTGTTTCATTGACAGCCGCTCATTCGTTTGTATGACATTCCTGATAACACTTTTGATTCAGATAATGATGAGAATGAAGATGAAGAAATTGGTAAGAAAATTTAATTAAGTTAATAATAAAAAAAGAATTTTTCACTCTAATGTAATTTAATCCTGTGTTGTGTGTTTATATTAGATACTCTTAATCTAAAACCATAATATATATAATATATTTTAACTTGGAAATATAATCAGGTTTTTAATTTTAAAATAATAAATATATAATTGACTAGATTAATTCAGTTTAATGCTGCATTGTTTAGAAATAAAATTATATCTTAAATAAATATCAAAAATTAATAAACATTAATCCCTTTCTGATAGTTGGGCAGTGATATTCTGAATTCTGTATATAAATAATTAAACTTTATCTACTAATTATAAACCAAATTTATTTAAATTTTATAATAATAATAATTATTGTTTTATAAGGTTAGCTTTTATAAAGAACTTTATAATTTCACCATAAAATAATTTTAAGACAGTATATTATTATTCAACAATTGAAATGGAAAGTTGTCATCATGTGTTGGGTATTAAATTATTCCAACTTACAATTTTAGAGATGGGTCACATTTATTATTTAATTCTATCTTAAATTATTTTGACTTGTTTGCACTTTTCATTATGGAACCTACACATTTTGTTATTAAATTTAATAACTATAAATATCAAAACTAAATCTTAATTATTGTTACAAGTATTTTTTTTATTGCTTTTAATTTATCCTATATTTCCTAAACTAATTTATGATTTTTAATGGTTTTATTATAAATACTAACTATGTTTATTATTAAATGTAATATATTTATATTTTATTAAAACATATTTTGTTTTTATTTTAGGTGAAAAATCTACGATACCGGCTGAACTTCTTCCACCAAATCCTTAAAAGAAATTTCAAATTTATTCATATTTTTTTAAATTTCAGTAAAAATATAAGTTGCAGTTTTATATTCTTTTTAGATAAATTATATATACATTTGTAAACATAATAAATATGTATTATGTTTATTTATCAGTAAATTATGATTTATATTACATTCAACAATAGTAAAACATTTTCTCAAATATTTATTATTATTATTTTTTTATCGATTAAAATATTAAATTAGAAATAACTTTAAAAAAAATAAATAACTCAGTAAAAAATATCTTAACATCATTGTAGATGTATTTTTATAGATACACAATATCCCAGTAAGTAGTTGTTTTTAGTGGCAATCTAAACTATTATATTATTTATTGATGAGCATTTTTTGTTTGTCATAGTTAAACACATTATTAAAAAGAAGCCATACCTGCATTTGTTGTATATGTCTAACGTACAAAACACCAAATGTACGTTCAGTAGAACGTAGCTTTAATATTAAATTACATGAGGGAATTGAGTATTGACCTATTATCAAACCTTGTGTGTTTGAACATTGCTTTAATATTATGATATTTTTAAGTGAGTCATTATAATTTTTAAATTCTAATATTTTATATACTTGTAGTTCGCTTATGTATAACGAATAATGCCTTAGGAAGACAGTGTGCACTGATATATTATAATATTTTTTTGAGATTCTGAGTAGAACGAAGAATGTATTGATTTTACAATGATGTGTTTTTTTATTTTATTTCCAATTCATTAAAATGTAATAGAATAATATAATCAAAAATAAATATGCATTAAGCAAATGAATAAAAAGCCTATTGGGGTGGGATTCCCCTGTTTTCCACCCTCCCTCCCTCACACCTAAAAAAAATGCCATTGAAGCAGACGTGGAACGGAACTTAGTCTTTAACAGTGCAACACTTCAACACTTAGTACTTACTACAATTGAGATAATTTTATTACATTTTAAAATTAAATAATGTAATATCTTATAACAAAAACCTAAAGAATTTTTTATATTGGTATTTGGCATCTAAGTTATCTACTGCCCATATCCGTGTGTAATTGTATTTTTCATATTTTGTGACTAATTAAATATAATAAATTATACATTAAACAATACATTACCTATAAAAATTTGAGTTTGATATATTTTTAAAGTTTGAGTATTAAATTGTTCTCACTACAAATAAATAGGTACCTAATAGGTGTCATTAATTTATAAATAAAAATAAAATAATTGATTAACTTATAACTTCAAATTTATTTAACTAAGTTACTAAATAAACTGTTGACAGTATCTTTCTAAGTTACAGTTGTAACTTTTAACTATGGGCGTAAATTGAGGGAGGGACGGAAAACCGTTCCCTCATTAAAAATTAAACAAGGCAATGCCCCTCTTGGCATTTTGTAGGTAATATACTAATAAAATATCGAGAACGCATTTTAAATTTGTAAGAGTTGTTAATCAGAAAAGTATAATATTTTAAGCTATCATGTATAGAGAAATTGTACGCTTTATATTTATATTAACTTATTTTTTCATTCATAAATATTTAAAATATTAGGTATGGCAACGTTGTAACTTGTAATTAGTTTCATATCCAATGGTATTCGTTTGTGGGATCGGTAGACAGTTCTATGTGAAATTTTTAGTAACTTTGTTCGACTAGAAAGAAATACGATTGTCCATTATTCATTTATATCAATGTTGGAGAATAAAATTATTGATCATGGTCAATTAAAAAATCACGTGTGTCGGTTTCAACAATTATTTCAAACCAGTGAAGCTTAAGTACTTATGTAAGAAGCTTTTTCGGATCTCAACCGAAAAAAGTTATTTCAGTATTCTACCCATGGTATCTTATGTATTATATACCTAATTATTTATTTCGGTATTCCACTCAGTGGTGAAACGTACATGGTATTTGAGAAGCGGCTGCTTCTGTATGAAAGTGAAAAACATAATTATTTGAATATGAGTAAGCACACGAGGCAACAATATTATTATTGAGGTTATTTCTTTTCACTGGATAATAAAAATTACAATTGACACCTCACAGTATTTTAAAATATATATTTATATATTATATAAAATATAGCAAGTATATACAGTGAATTTTGATAACGATTAACGGCTGACTGGTTGTTATCGGCCACAGTACATGTCGATTTTTCCAATGACATACTTAATCTTTTCAATGGCCATATCCAAGTCTTTGTCGGTGATGTTCTTGTGCGTCACGAATCTCACTCTTGCATCGTTTATCTGCGCTATCCTCACGGCCGTCGATCGTATCTTATTGTTCGACTTACTGTCGCTTCCATCAGCGTCCACCTGTGCAAGGTATGTTAAGTTATTGATAAATTATTCTTTACATCGTGTTTAATAAGTTCAGTGAAAACCACCTATACTGGCAGGCCCGTTTCGTATTATATCGAGAAGGGATAAACATTAAAAAATAATAAATATAAACCAATAAACTGCACGGACACGATACAAGGCACCCAATCTCAAATAGTCGAATCTACTTCCTACATCGACTACGCAATACGTAATGGCTATTTTCTACTTAGTACTTACTTAGTATTATGTGTTAGTAAGTAAGACTATTATAATAGTATGTTAGGTAGTATGCTACCTGTATTATGTATCAGGTGGAAGACATAATCGCTAAAATGAGATCAGAAAAAACAAAGTTGAATTGTATTTTAGATACCTGTGTATCAACCGATTTATTAAAATTATAATAATTTATTGATTTCTATTATATTTATTGATTATATTTTATAAGATGGACATTTTTAAATAACTACTTATATACAATATTAGTTTTGGCGCAAATGATATGTAATTTTTGCACTTTTGGAGCTCATGTCGTTTAGCTCTGACGCTCTGTACTAATGCCATTGATAAAGTATCCATCATAATAACAAAATACTTAAATAAGTCGGTAGGTAGTAGGTACCAATACTCCGTGCCACGAGAGAAGTAATCCGCTACGCGCATGCAGACTGACGGCAGTCACCGTTCCGAGGCCCCGTTTCCCCCACTTTAAACATGATACATACTAATAGTATTACTATATAACGTTGACGGTCGTGATCGTGCAACGTCAACATGTCAAATAGGTGGCGGATTCGACAGCGGTTACTTCTCTCGTGGCACGGAGTATATTATACTACTAGCTGATCCCGTGCACTTCGTCGCCCGTTAAATGGATCAACTCAATACTACCTACTCAAACTTTGTTCAATTCATTAACGTGTATGGTGTTCAAAATTTATCTTATTTTTCCTGAATAAAAATTCTGAATCGCAGCAGTACATTATCAGGTAGGCAATCTACCTGCGGTAGATCGCGGACCCCGTGCTGTTTGTACGGAAGTGTATGATTTAACTCTAAAGTATCAAAGTTATACCAAGTTTATTTTGATGTAATACTGTGGATTAATATAATAAATTTGGTTGCTCGTAAAAAATCGCAACTCTTAAAAAAATTATGATTGTTGAACTCCTTTTGGGTGTAATTTTCTGCGGTAAGTGCAACTCTGCCACCCTGGTAAGCATTGTTCAATAATTCGATTTGATGCAAGCTTGTACCTGATCTGCCCGAATAACCAATGGAAACCAATAAATAAATGCTAATTTCTAATGTAGACTGTAACCAATGGCAACTATAAATAAATAAAAATAAAATTTCCAATTTCTATCGTGAATCTCAATGTCCCTGTTTCAGCACCTATTTAAAATGCGAATTTTGGCAAATCCTTTCTTAGCGCACGTCTATATTATAATAGCTATCTGTATGCCAAATTTCAGCCAGATCCGTCCAATGGTTTGAGCTGTGCGTTGATAGCAGTCAATCAGCTTACTGTTTTTTATATACAGATATGGTTGCCATGGTAATATGGACACACACACACACTGACATACATTCATTTTTATATATATAGATTGATATGAAATCTTGGTAACCTTAGTAACCATGGCAACCTTGGTAACCATGGTAACATGGACACACAGACACACACACTGACATACATTCATTTTTATATATATAGATATGGTTGCCATGGTAATATGGACACACACACACACACACACTGACATACATTCATTTTTATATATATAGATTGATATGAAATCTTGGTAACCTTAGTAACCATGGCAACCTTGGTAACCATGGTAACTTGGACACACAGACACACAGACTGACATACATTCATTTTTATATATATAGATATATTTTACTCGTATATGCCAGGGATGACAAAACATTTTTGATAAAGATCTAACAACCAACAGGCAACAAGAGTATCCATATTTTTCGTTTGAGTTGCTACATTAGTATATTAATTCAATTAATTATTTTCGCCGGTGGCCAAAGGAATTTTTTAGGCGGTCCCCCCTCCCCCCTACTAAATATATAATGGTAAATTCTAACAAATCTAGATCGAATTCTAAATCGTCTGTGATTCATCATTTGGAATCGTCTAAGACAATGCCGTCTTCGAAGGCACTGACGTCAGAGGTTGCGAAAGGGGCAGCAGTTATCTCCTCCCATATTCTTACCATGTAACTTTTTAAAAATGTTTTTAGTTAATGTTTATAGTTAATTTTTATGTAGCTGAACGAATTCTGATTACATTAATAGGTATTAATAAATAGAGATATGTATAGAGATTAGAGAAACAAATAATAGAGGTTACATTCTAATCAATTTATATTTTTTATGTTTCGTTGTCTTAATTTAAAGTTGAGATTATCGATCCATAACCTCTTGTCCTCTTAATAACACGTCTTAACAGCATGTAATGATGGTTAAATGTATATATTATAGACTAGATATAAATACTTCACTTCAAATGTTACATATATCCTTACATATACATATATACACAAGTACATACTAAATATAAGTGGTACATACATATCGTGGAAGACAGCGATGGTAGTACTTTTAAAAACAAACTGGTTTTACTACCTTTATAAGCTCTGAAACGAAGTATTTGGCGTCGACTGCAGGCGGGTTAATGTTCACCAAAAGTATGTTTGTGTCGAGTGCGTCTAGGTTGACGGTCACATGGGGACTTGCCATCCTTTGGATAGCTACATGTAATAAAAATATTAAATAAATAATAATAATTAATCATAATCAATTTACAATGCCATAAATACAAGCTCGGTATCAATTAATTTTCATGAAATGCAGTTAAATTATCTATTTCCGTTCCGTACATTATTGTGGGACTCGTGATGATTTATCCTTAGCCTATAACATAAGGATTCGAGGAGAACCCTTATTATAACGATTCACGCCGAAGCAGGGTCAAAGAGAAAAACAAATATTTAATAATTCTGCAGTCGACTTTCTCGGTAGGAATGAATGTATGATAATATCATACATAGCAGTGTAGGTACATGACAATATCTCGAAAAGAAAAATTCCTTTCAAATATTATTGCATGGTAACTCGATAGATTTAGGAATATTTTTATTTTGTCAACCTGAAATTTCCAGCTACAAAACTGTTTTCGTCGTCGTCCTTAGACTATATTGGTTTAGTCAAAATCACATTTTTAAACGAGAAATAATAATTTTTATCAAACAAATATGTAAATTAACAAATGTTAATCACAGGGCCTTGATTTTCGTCCGTTATACTTATACTATCATTTTCTATACACAATCAAATTGCGTCTAAAATCTAAATATTTTGACTCATTTTAAGCATAGAATATAAGTTTATATAACTATATAAGTACCTACACGGCATTTTTGAATTTTTTTACTTTTTTGAAGTTGCTGTAATCAGAGTATTTACAACTTAAACATATTATTTATATTCTATATGAACATTTTTGTATAAAACTACTATACTTAAAAATATTACTATTATATTTTTATTAGGGCTTGAAAAATTATTGAATGGTTCTAAACTTCTTCAAAAGTAACTGATCCAGAAGTCACTCAATGAGGGAGATGGTGATTTATCACAGATGAAATTACCCTCTTTAGCCCAATATTATATTTAAAACAACGTCAAAAACACAGACCAACGGGTGAACGCCCCAACGACCCCTCCCCGCCCCATGTATCCAAATATGATTTCCACCATTGAGTATATATAACTACTAATAACTAATAAGTAATAACATAATGAAAATGTAGTCAACGAAATCATATTTTGTACCATAAGCTATTTTCTTGGCGTTTCTGTGATCGTCGGCCAACCTTTCCACGCAATTGTCCAACGCGTAAAGTCCCGCCGCGGCCACGATTCCGGCTTGTCGCATGGCACCACCCAAAACTTTCCTTATTCTTCTGGCCCTGTGAGCCAAAATTAAAATATTAGTTTTTGTTATTGTAATTTTACCTTTAAGATATGGTATATGACTGCATAAGTTATTTGTTCGTATATTATGTGTATAAGACACCCAATACTCATATTCCTATTTTCTATATACATTTACATCTTGATGTAGGTGCTTATTTCTAATATAATAATACTAAATTTTGGCTAAAAATCTAATTTTTTTTAAATGTTTATAATTGTGATGCTATATACAATATATACGTAATAATGTAATATGTATTATTATGTAGATACTTTATTTACTAGACGTATTGTACATGATTATTAATTAGTAATTACTTTTCGATGAATAATTTTTCACCGATTAAAATGGAGCCGATTGGCGCTCCGAGACCTTTACTCAAACAAAACGTCACCGAATCGCAGTGCTTTACAATGCGGCTGACTGGAACTCCAAGACCCACAGCTGCGTTAAAAACTCTAGCTCCGTCCATATGCAAAGGTATATTTTTCTCTTTGGTAAGTTTTCCCAACTGAAATGTTCATTAAATACACACGTATTATATTTTACGTAATTGTGACCTAAGTATACCTAACACTATTGTGTTTTAATAAAACTCTATTATTATATTATATTGATGTAATTTCTGGGTTTACATATCAGTGTCAGCAATCTGGATAAAATTGTTATTCGAAATCATTTTGATTTGTAAGGTTTTGAAAATAACTAATCTTTAGAGCTTAGGTAATAAGAGGTACCTTCATTATTTCAAAACACATCATTCTTTATGTGAATGTTGTGTTTGGAATACAATGTTTAACCACATATACAGGGTGTCCCGTGAGGATTTACTCATTAGCCGTAGAGGGGGACTCGCCGCCCGGACAAAAACCAGTTTATTGACGTTTTACTAATAAACTAAAAAAATTATTAAAAATCATGAGATTAATGAAAATAAAATGTTAAAAGCTCAAAATGTTCACAAAAATATACTCTATAGAATGGCTATCTTCAATTTTTTCAAAAATTAAAAAATTAAAAAATATTTTTTTTAACTTTTTTACTAAAAAATTTAATTTAATTAAAAAATTAAATATTTGTAGTGCTTACCTCTGCGAGTCTTAATAAAAAAAACATAATTACGATATCTCCATTATTTCAGGAGATATCGCAATGAGTAAATCCTCACGGGACACCCTGTATATAAATGCTATACAAAAATATATTCATAAACGTGAAAGAACTTATCAAACAGTAAGGAAGCAGTTTAAATAAACTTTAAAGTTTCTATAAGTGTATATTTATTATTTATTCCCCCAAACGGCTATGCATGGGTATATTATAATGTGTGTATTTATTTTAAAATGTCAGTTGAAAAATAAAACCAGAATAAAAAAGGAAACGTGCTAATAGTTGTTGAGGCAAGTATTAGGTATTTAGGCATAATAGGCATAACAAAATTGCATATAGTCGCTGCATAAATCACACTCAACAAAAAAGTAATTTGAAATTTGAATAGTTATTAGCTTAAAAATTAAAATGTATTAAACGAGGTTTTTCATAAATTGGTACCCTAGTAAGCACGACTAAAGATATACTGGTTACGGAATTAGTAGGAAAAAGGGCTCTCCACGATTAGTTATGAAAAGGCATGTAGAACTAAACTTAGAGCACCTGGTGTAAAAAGTTCAAACAGTTTACGTAGGTAATAATATATTTTATATATCATAGTTTCATTAATAATCGTGTTAATGTTGAATATAAGACAAAGACATATAGATATATTATAGTATAATATCATGATAGTTATAGTGATTTCAACTTTAGTACTAAACATTAGTTTTAGGTACATGCATTTGAGAGCCTAAACGGAACATAACTGAAGCCAGAAGAGGTCACAAATTCGTATTGTTTTACACACAAGTTGTGTAACCAGTTTATCTTTAATCGTGCTAATAAGTGCTAATAACATGTTAAAGTATTTTGATATATTATAACTTTTAAGTTTTAAGTGGTTTTGAAATATTTTATCTAAATATTAATTTACTGGTTTTATTTACTCGTATTAACCTTAGGTTTTAAGCCACAATTTAATACCTAGTTATAACTTATAGTATTGTGTTGTTGTAGTTTCTAATTTGAGTAACCGTGTATTGTATATATACCGTTTATATATGAATAAAGGTGACTATAACAAATTAGTATTTTCTATAGTTATAACTTATAACAAAGTTGCAGAAATAAATTATTTCAATAAGTTCGAAAATTGTTTTTGATTATGTGTTACGAAACTGAAATCCAACTAACATTATTCATTACCGATTATCATGATTATTTACTAAATATTTAGAGGCTGTATAAATAAAATATTTAAATCTGTACCTAATATTATCACGCGTAACGAATTAATAATTTATCAATATAATAATGATTACAATAATGAATATATAATTTACACGTAATTTGTATAGCAATTATCAATATTTACTATTTAGCAAGTGTCCAAAGCCCAAACAACTGTTTTACTGAAAATCATTTTAGTTAAAAGGGCAGTAAATGGAATGTAAAATACAGGTTCCTATATATGATAAATTATTATTGTATTAAAATATATTTGTTACCTGATCAATCCATTCGATAGGCAATATAGTACCCCCACAATAGTTGTGAGTGTTTTCTATGCATACTAGTGTAGTATATGGTTCGTGAGGATCAGGGAACTCCGGTCGTATTTTTCCAAGTAACTCTGTCATGTCCAAAGTGCCATCGTCCAAATTTCTAACTTCTCGCATTTGCAACCCTGCAATCTGTTTCAATTATCCATTTAAAAATTTTAGATTCTGGATGGAGTGATGAATTATTGATTTTACAATGATGTACCCACCAATTTTTTTTGTGTTAGTGTAGGTACCTACACAATTTATAGTAGAAAAAATTATTTGATTATATTAACTCAAATATCTTTTCTGGTTACATAAAGAATCTATAGTCATTACACTTGGGAAGTCGACATTTAAAATTTTGAAAAATTAAAATTTTTTTTTTCGTTTTAGGTTTTTTTCCATTTAATAACGTTTTCCATCCCTGAATTTTTATATATCATTTAAGAAATATCCAAAAAAAATTGTATAAGCCTTTAAAGTTAGAAATTTTTTTAAATTAATTTAAATCTCAAAATGTTGATGATTATGAAAATTATTTTGTAGTTAAATATGTATAAAATGTTTAATTTTTATATAGTATTTGTTTACAATTATACATATCTATTATACAGATATTCTAAACACCTCAAGTGCCACTAAAGGGTTGTTTTCTTAACGTTCAAGACCTTCAATTTATTTTCCCAATACTTTTATAATATTATTAATTATCATAGTATCGATGGTATACTTCTTAATAATTAAAAATATTTATATACAAAATTTTATGTATACCTGTGAAGCTCCACCTTGTTCCCACAGCAAAATATGACTTTTATGGCCCACTATTACTTCTCCTCCTCGTTGTTTTGAATGAACCATCACTGGAAAGTATCATTATCAATTTTATAAATCATTATTAGGCATATCATGTAGGCTGTAACCATTAGCCATGTACCTATCAAATAATTAACTATAAGGCATGTATAAACACTAACTAAACTACTTAACTATGTTTACTTTGTAAATCATAAAAATTGAATGGATAATTTCCATTTAACTAATATAAATATAGCTCTTCCTAAGCACTAAGAAATTTCAAAAGTAGTGAGTTTGTTTAATATTAGACGTACAAATCTAAAAATGATAGGTACATGGACTATGAAGGGTACATAAAAAAGTTGCTATATTTTTTTGTAATAATTTATATTTTTGTGTATTATTAAATTTGATTTATACTGATTAATTCAATTTTACAATATTATTATGAATTCAAATAACATACGATTTATAAAATATACCTAGTTAATAAAATCGTTAGTCCTCAAATAATAAATATTAATTATAGACATATATATATATATATTGAATAATGTACAATGTAGTTGGTATAAATGTTACGATTACCGATATAATATAATATTTAATATTGGTTAATTAATTTATTAGAAAACTTACCGATTAAAAAAAAAAAATAGGTTGTATTTGTACATCGATAATTTGCCTTTAAAATTGTTTATCGCTTTCATATCCAGTTAAACGTTGGTAAAAAAACAACGAGTCTTTAATAATTGGAATGAATAATAATGCATGTTCTTAAAATTATGTGAACGATATCTTGTGATAAATAGGAATTGAAGTTATTCCTTGAGATTTAGGTATATTAGGTAGGTAATACTGGTAATATAGGTATGTTATATTTGATATTTTCTAATATTGTATTTAAATTTAAATTTTCGATACTTTTCGTGACTGAGAATCTTTAATCAGAATATATAGCCGTAGTATACACATTTGGGTTACTGCGGCATAACACATTAATACACACACATTTAAAAATAGGAATAGGGTATAATATATAGCATTATATAGCTCCAAGGCTCCAATACACGACTGTAAATAACCACAAAATTACAAAATTAGTACCTTTGCTTAACACATAGTCATATAGATGAAGATAATCTATATTTTAAATTAATTAGGTAGCTTTTAAACATTCACGACCATTAAGTTATTTTCAAATCTAAAAATGTTGCATGTTAAGTCGAAATACTGCAGTAGGTATTATAATTAAAACACATAATTTGATAAAATTAACCTTAAATCTAATGTTCACAAATAATCAAATATTATGATTTTCAAATTATTGAATTTAAAAACATGTATTTTTTTTACATATTTATATAAATTGTTTTACAAATTTGTTTAATTACTTGCAATCAAATTTCCCATGAGTCCGCTTGGTAAAAATATTGCAGCTTCCTTCTCAAATAGTTTCGACGCTTTTTCTTCCAAAACTGTAATAATTAAAAAAAAAAAAATCAATTCAACAATAAGAGTTAAACAAAAGATTAATGGCGTAGTAATTGAAACTGTTTTATGGTGGCGGGGGGAAGGGGGTTTGCTATTTTTTTGTAATAATTTACATCTTATAACACAAAGCATATCGGGGGATTTACTTCCTCTCATGTCTCCTAATTACGCCGTTGGAGCATAATATAATTAAAATACTATAGACTATGTATAGGTAATGATCTAAATCATAAAGGTCATAGAGTCACGGTAAAATCGTAGTAGGTCTATAGTGATTCTTCTAATATTTGCTATATAGGTACTTATAATGGCAGTTTACCAATATTGTGCTTTTTACATCAAAAGGCTATTTATTTTGAAAATCATTCTAATGTTTAAAGTGTTCAATTATTTTATAAGTATAGAAATATAATTTCCAACAGATTTTTTACTCGAGGTTTTCATCAAAGGTTTTGAAGATTAAGTTTTTGAAATATAGTTCAAACTTCAAACTTATATAGCTACCTATAGGCTGCTATAATATAGTTCTGAGTTAATTGTTTATATTATACAACTATAACGTTACCTTCAAATACTGAAGTGATTTATAACAAAATAGTACATACATAGCAGTCAGATTTCATCTTAAACTCGGTTATTCAAACTTACGATTTATGGTGGGATCCTCTCCGTAACCATCGTCACCGACTTCGGCTTCGAACATTGCTTGGCGCATATGGACATCCGGTTTTGTTACTGTATCGCTTCTCAAGTCTATCACTTCACTCAGCTGCAAATCATTTTCGGATGGCACCAGCTTTAAAGTTTTAAACGTATACATTGTTTTTACTATTATTACAATTATAATCTCGTGGTACAGTACGTTCTATTTTCAGTTAAAACAACGAACTGAATCAGGCATTGTGTTAAATGATATATTTATAAGAAATTACAACGAAAAACGTGTTCGTTATCGTTTCCAAGCATATATGCATAGGCGTGTCTACAGCACTAGACCTTTTTCGCAGGTCGTGTATAAGTTTATTATATGAATGTAAAACCAAGCGGGGATAAGGAGTTTGATCCCCAAATGTTGAAAAAAAAATTATGATTACATTATTGTGAGTACCTCTGAAAATAATAAGTTATAAAAACAATATAAAAGAAAAAAAAAACCTTTTAATATTTTTAAAGTAATCGCAATAATATTGATACCACATGTTTCGTAAAATTTCTCATGATAGGCACGACCTGTAGATACACCTATATATATATATATATAAATATATACCTATAATATATATATGAACACTATAACGTGTTAACCACACTTTCAGTAAAACACTTTGCGTGAACGTTTCATTGATTGTGAATAATTTAGCTGTATAAGTTATTAAAACGATCCAGGTAGTTTTTTTTTATTATATCAATTTATCAAACTAATTAATTATGATGTTTTTAATATTATTTTTATCTTAATCATGATTAGATGATGATGCAATTATTACCTATATTATGACTTATGAGAGAGGGCCAGTGAATTTTTATCAGCTTAATATATTTAATTACAATAGTTTTCTAAAGTGTATATTTTATATTAACAATATCAATATTATAGTAGTACCGTATAGGTAGGTACCTAATACCATTATAGTTTATACTAATATCAATAGACAATATTATAGTAGTAATATTGAACGTAACTAATACCGTAACTATACACCTATAAGGCTATAACAATTTTGGTTCATGTGTTACCTTTATTGTGGACCTAGGTTAAGACTAACCAGGCCAGATTTTTATATTGTGCCTTGATAAAATTATCTTATCAAAACACATTATTGTCAATACACTATCATGGACCATATTTATTAAAATTAAAAATAACAATATGTAAACACAAATTTAGAAAAAATATATAACCACGTTTTTGAAAAAACTAGATTTATTTATTGAATTTTAAAGATTTTTCAGGCTAATATGCTTATTTGTGTAATTCCTTTCAATTTTATTGTTTTAATTAGAGTGAATAAATAAATAACAAATTACAATTAACCAAGTCCTAAACAATAAATAATTAAAAACGTCTTTACCTTATTGAATATTAAATGATAATTAATTCTAATTTATCTATTAGGTAATTACTAATTAGGTATCTAATGCCCCGTTAAAAATATAGTTTTTATTTTATGAAACCAAACGTGGTAAGAAGCAACAGAATTTATTAAATAATAGTTAAGTAACAGGAGTTATTCCTTATTTAAGTTTAAAATATTTTATTAGGTACCTACACGATCTCTTTATACGTAGGTAATCGAACAATAAGTGAATGTGTAGATGTGAAAACTTATAAAGATGGAGTCTATATGGTTGAAGACTCCCGAAAGTTGATTTTTAAACGCATGCAAGTTCGTATACGTCCAGAATTGAAATACAACATGCGAGCTTATATAGTTATATACGATCAGAATTTGAAAAATTGTAAATGAAAAAAAATGGGGTTAGTACCATAATTTTCCTATCTTGAATCTATACGAACTCTTAGTTTGAACATTAAAACGAATCAGTTACGCGGTATACCCTACTCTTGAGAGTAATAATCAGAAGAAGAATGTAGGTACCTACCTAGGGAGGGTTTTCAATTCAAAAATAAATTGCGTTAATATTGAAACTAGAAAATAGCTTATGCCTCTTTAATTTTATACATCAAACTATTGGTTTATGATAAGTGATAACTATAAAGTATGAAATCTAAGTACCTATATTAATGATTTGAGTGTTTTCAAATCGCTTGAAAACATGGTGATAATTATTATACATTTATACTTCATGAATTGGTTGTTAGTGCGAACATAACAGAAAGGCGAAGTTCAATGGAAAGTTCCAACGTTTAACAAGACTTAACTGTTGTCAGTTACACTGGTTACGTCGATTAGGTCCATCCGGAAAGAAAATAGATTCGTTAACCGAGAGCTAAGATGTTTACACATTAAAAATACATGATTCACAGAATCAAAAATGCTTCCATCTGATAGAATAGGTATTAATATTCTATTATAATAAATAATTTAGTTAATTAAAGTAAAAATTACCAAAAAAAAAAATATTTTTACTAACCTTTTCATAAGCTTTTAATTGACTTGACATATCGACGTTCTTAGAAATTATTTGTTTCTATAGATAGAATATTTACTACCCTCTGCATGCAGATTAGGTTGCAATCTTCTTTACTTGAAACCCCTAGAACACCGGAATAAGCTATACTCTTATATTAACAATCATATATTAATTTGAACATAACCTAAATACTTAAATAATATGTTAATATTTAAACATTCTCATAACTTTTGCTCTGAGAATCATAAATAGCGATCTTCTGGGTGAGTTATAAAAACAATAACTTTTAAGCATTTACCTAGCTTAATACATATTACATTAAGAAAAAATAATACACTAAATTACAGTATAAATAGACTCTAAAATATAATAAAATACTTTCAAACTGCAGGTTGCAGGTAGGTAATCGAGTACATTAACCTAATTCAAAACTGAAATACATCTGTGTAAATCTGACCTACAAGTCACTATACCTTCTAACAACTGACTTTTACTCACGAATAATTAAATTGAATATAATATATAATTAATTTATAAATTGTGACAAGTATTAAATAGTTTAGCTGTACGCCTGTACCTTTAATTTTTTACCGTAATATCTTCTTATATGTCTATATTTTGTGATTAGCAGCTTCAACAATCGGTAGGTACATCGCTAAAACTCGTGACTTCTTTAATTAATTTCATCATCACAAGCGGCTAATTAAACAGTACCACACACAAATAGAGGTGATCGACGTCATGACCGCAATCAATACAATATTATATTTTAGTTTTAATAAACATACATCTAGGTTTAAAAATTATAAAATATAACAAAAAGAAATGTATTTAAAAATTAGTTTGTTTCTATAAACTGAACATTTTGAATTGAATAATGTCAATATAATTTTACTATTGTCCATATATCTTATAAATGAATTATCTACTATGGTTTTCGGCCACTTTAATAATTAATAACCGCTATCATGGTGCCATGTAATATTTTATCAATTAAAATAATGGTGGGAATAACTTAATTAGTTAGACAAAAGATTAAGCTGGCTATTATGATAGCTCATATGTGTACCTAATGTGTATGCATATTTATTATTTGTCATCAATTGTTATGGAGTATGAACATAATTCACCGATTACAAATTACAATTTTCCTCTAAAATCAACACTACTATTTATAATCTTTGGTTAAATTAAATAATAGACTGATTTTTTTTATGGGTAATTTGAATTTTGACATTTTTATTGCATATTAATATAGCTCTAGAAAAGTATAAATTTCATATTTTTCTGGAGCTATACAATTCTATCTCTGATAATAATAATAATAGTTGCTTAGTGCAACAATTGTTACTCATTCTTACATAGTCGAGTACTTATTATATATTTTCATGAAATATCAAACCGTCAAATCATAACTAAACCAAGAAACTCGTTGTGATGTATATAGTAGATTTCGAGTGTACCTCATTATTCAGTATTTAAAAATGTGCATTTTTGTTTTTAATAATTATTTTAATTCACAATGTTGTAATAATGTATTTGATATGTTTATAAAATTATTTTAATTCACAGGTTGTACATGAAAATCACAATTAAGTACATATTATATAATATGCAAATTTAAGTCTATTTTTAATTTTAATTTAATTTTATTACTATTTTTTTATGTGGGATGTAAGTACAGGGTAAAATTAATGTATTTGATATATTTTTAACAAATTCAAGTTTTTCAATTTCATTTTTATTTAATCGATAATCGCTAATTTCTGATACACAGTATACACCGTACACACTGAATGTAGAGACTTTTCATTTTTATGTATATCGTCGTAATTTATAAATTATTTTTTCGAAAAATTAAATTATATTAGTACTCGGGACTCAAGTTAAAGGTTTTTGGACTCAATTTATCTAACTCCAATATTCACCCGATTATTTGGGACTCGGTTTACCACGCCCGCTTACAGCATTGAGCATATGTACGAGCCACGAGGAGACCCCAACTACAGTCTCAAACTCTTAAATAACCTGGAACATAATTTAATAGTTTAATCTGATGTTGAAAATATATGTATATACAATTACATGAACTTAATATAAAATAATTACATACCTACATAAATAAATCAATATAATATATACAATATTTTGATAAGTTTTAATAAAAAAAACGAATTAGTTAACTCCAATATGACCAAACCGAGTACGATTGCGTGCGTTTTTCCTATATGGTATTTATAAGATTGCGCGCAGTGCCGAAATAACAAAGAACATGACTTTGTCACTTTGACTCTCCAAAGACGTACGAATCGCTTAAAATACATAACCAATATATTTTGTTATGGTAGAGGATTTTTTGGGTTCTTCCGGATCCAATATTATTTGGTTATCTATTTTATTTATTTAGGAAATAATAATTGGTTCATTAACTATAGTTGTAAATGTATAGGTATATGGATTTATAAATGTCCATTTCTATAGTCTATAATCTAAATAAGTTTCAGAAAACAATAACACAAGAGCAGTTACCAAAGTTTGAATATATAAATTGATAAACACCCTTCAGTTATTCATTGACCGTCATCATCATGGTTATTCTTATTTCTATTTAATCTATTTATGGTTTTGGACGATAACGTTTAATGACATTGATGACTAATCAAATGATTATTAGAAATGTGTCTTAAATGTCAAAAATATTACGCACGCGGATAGGTTGTCTACAGAGTACAGGTCCTTAGATACTAGGTATTAAGCGAATAGTTCGCGCACGGACGTGTTTGAAATCACCGCGAAGATTGGTTTAAAATTAAATATTCACACTATATTTAAACCGTTTGGATAAAATCCGCCAGCGTCTGCGATCCATCACGTGTGTTCAATAATTATATACCAACATTCGCTAAGGACTTTCACCTAAGATCGCTAAAATTAAACACTTTGTTTTGACTGGGTTGTGTATAAATGGACGTCGGCCGAATGTTCTCAACCATTTCCAAGATTATTTTAATTTTTTTTAATCAGCCAAGGAAATTGTACATTTTTACATCAAATTTTTAATTTAAAATAAATTGTAGGTAATTTAATAATTATGAATTGATTTAGTAAATTTTATTATCGAGATATCGAAAGAATATTGATTTACCCTAATTTACTCACCCAAAGTGTCATATCAACTCCAAATTTTCATCAATATTTTTGAGTTTTATAATAAAATAAAATAAAATAAAAGATTTTTACAAATGGTGGACTTACCAAGTATTTATCATATTATGACATATAGTCACGTAAAAAAACGTTTTATTCAAATTTCAAGTTTTCACTTAAAAAGTTGCAACAAGTATTACCCCCTTGAGAAATGAAAACTGTAAGTGCGTTGGTGAAATGGTGCAAAAATTATATAACTATGTAACTTACTAACTTACAAAATAATTAAGCAGAAACGATTAAGTATTTCTTATTGAACATGCATTTGGTAGTATATACATGGTTGGTATATACAGGTATATACTATATACTATATGTTATCAGTATCTAATTACAAATTATTTTATTATGTAATCATCATTTTTCAAAATTAATTTTTTATTCATAGTTCAAACTTCATTGGTATAGCTACTTCATAGTTCCGTACAACCTACCTTAGTCGACTAAGTCCTAATTAGTATTTGTTTTTTATTTAATTATTTTATTAGTCGATACATAATATTATTGTCTGTGATAATGGGGAAAGGATTAGAATCTAAACTTCCATACCTACACTATAGGTATATAGAGCTAAGAAACCAAATAAATGGCTTATTGCTTTATAATTCCAAAGTTCAAAGTTTGAGATACAATTATTTTTCAAATAAAAATGTGCACATTATAATATATTGTTGCAATAATTACGTTTTTACATATGATTATTATTCAAATAAAAGTGATTTAGGAATGATTTAGGAATGATCTAGGTATTTAGCTGTTTCTAATTATTTTAGTTAGTTGAAAAACCTTAATCTGGGAGACTATTTGTTTTTTATTTTCTCCATCCACTATACAAACCCATGTAAATATTTAAAAAAATGCATGTTGCATGGTAGTTAAGCTTAATTTCACAAAAACAGTCAGAAAAATCAAAGACTAGTTTATAAATACCACATTTCAATTCTTAGGAAAAATGTTGGAAATGGGTGTCGTGACTGGTGGATGCTTTTAAATTTTTAAACGGACCACAAAATTCTCGCAAATTATTGGTAAATTCGACAAAGATTTTGAGTCGATATATATAATAAAGTGGGTATAAGCTAGGGTGACCATAAAAATAAAATAAAAATACAGGAGATTTCAAAAGACAATTATTTTTAGATAAATAGTACCTACTATAGTAGTAGCCAATACGCAGTACCTGATACATAAAAATACAAAATTAATTTTATTTTTAAACTGATATTTAGTTAATTAAAATCATGCTTATATTTATATAAAAAAAAAACACACACATCATTGTAAAATCAATACATTCATCGCTCTGCTCAGAATCTAAAAAATAAATAATTCTTATTGATGACTGCAGTATAATGCAGGAGTAAACATGAGAAAATAAATAAATAATCTGCATAATTTATTTATTGTAGATCACATTGACATTATGCAATAATTATGTAATGAACTTACAAAGAAAAGAAAATACCACAATAACTTTTAAAAGAGCCAACTCTGGCAGTATAACTCTACTGAATATAAAGATGAAAACATTTTATCAGAAATGCAATCATCAATAATTTCATACTATGCAGTGAAAAGGGCGTTAAAAGGTATAACAAATACATAAATATTATTATGATATATATGATACATAATAGTATGATATATTTATATATAATTTTTATATTTTATATTTTTATAAATGTTCTACCATTTGTTTTTAAAGATTCAATAATTGGTTCTCTGAAAATTATAAAAATATGGAAAGTACACCGTCCAGGCTACTCTTGTCATATTTTCGTATATATTAATAAAAATAAAATAAAATTGTAATTTTGAATAAT